ATATATATATATATATACAAGAACATATGAAATTTACTGTTTTGTAATGTATTATTTTCATTTAATTTAAAAACATCTTTCCATGTCATTAAATTTCTTTAGGAAAGGACTCAAAATAAAGACAGATTTTTTTTAGCATTCTATACATTTACAATGCCAACACAAGACCATTTTAGTTTACCATTTTAATTGCTAATCAACTTGATTGTGTCTTTATTACAAACGTCTATTACTTTCAACCAATGAACTAGTAACTCCATTAAAAATAATATGAGCTTAGTCTGGAATAACCTATTGTTTATCAATACTTGTTCCTAGTGGTTTGTTACCCCTTTCATTTTAAATGTTCATATTTTCTATTATGCTGAGCTCTGTTTTACCTCATGGATGGATACTCTTTTTTATATATATTTCCAGATGTATAGCTAATTAGGTGTTTATTTATTGATGTGGATCAGGGTGATGAAAATTAAATATAATCCTAAACCTGTGTGTCAAGAAACCAGTAAGGATACTCTCAAAATTTCATATTGCCTTGTTACATACTTGTGTTAATTGGATGCTTTTACCTATATTAATAAATCCTTGAACATACTAATGTTCAAGTCTGTCTCTACAACATTATTTGATCTATACCATCAAGGGCCTTGTTTATTACATATACTAAACCACAAAATGTTAGTATGTTATTTACTTAATGAATGTCTATGTATATTAAAATAAACTCAAGCTCTAGGTAAATTTATAGATGTTGTGAGAATTGCATCTTTTCTGATTATGTAGCTTCTGTGAGTTTTAATTCAGTGATTATACATTTTCTACTGATGATACACAAATCTAGAACACACACAACATGAATTCACTCCTTGAAATTAATGAATGGTTTCCTTAGATGATGTGAGAGGGTAACAAAACATATGAATATCTATTGTTTTCAAATTTAATAATTAAATGTTCATTACAAAATTTTTCTTTTAAAGTAGAACGGATAAAATAAAGGTACAAGTTTGAATTGCCTTGATGCCAAGCCAAACTGCAAATGCATTCATTAATTAGTGCTGTACTTTGAATCTAGAAGCTTGCTATCTTATAGAGCCTCAGTTGGCTTTCTCTCTCATTCTCTACAGAAGTTATTTTAAATCTCTCAAATCTCCTCTGAAATCAAGGCCCTGCTCATTATTAGAGATGAATTTGCCTCATAAGTGTTAGAAAAAATGAGAATCAGAGATAATAACTACCTCGCTTCCTTTCTTTCCTCTCGCTAAATTTAAGAAGTGTCTTTCCTCCTAAGCCCATTCTCTAAGTAATGCTTTCCTGCCTTCTCCTCCAGGAACTTGCTCCATCAATAGCTCCTTCCCCATCTCTCTCCA